TTTTTTCCTTGGAGTGTAGGAGGTTTAGGGATGACTTCATAGAGATTTATAAAATCATGAGGAGCATACATCAAGTAAAAAGCCAAAGTCTTTTCCCAAGGGTAGGGGAGTCCAAACCGAGAGGGTATAGGTTTAAGATGAGAGGGGATAGATTTAAAAGGGACCTTGGGGGCAACTTTTTCACACAGAGGGTGGTGTGCATATGAAACGAGCTGCTAGAGGAAGTGGTAGGGGCAAGTACAATTACAACATTTAAAAGACATTTGGACAGGTACATGGATAGGAAATGTTTAGAGGAATATGAGCCAAATGCAAGCAAATGGGACTAGTTCGGTTCAGGAAATCTGATTGGCATGGACGATTGGGCCAAAGGCTCTGTTTCCATGCTGTCTGACTCTATGACTCAGCTTGTCCTTTGAAGTGCTTGAGCTCATAGGTTTTGAAGGTGCCTTCCTGAGTTGTTGCACTGCATACTGTGGATGGTATACACTGCTTCCAGTATGTGACATTGGTAGAGGAAGTGAATGTTTATGGTGCCAAGAATGCAGGCTGCTTTGTCCTGGGTGGTGTCAAGCTTCTTGAGTTGTTGGAGCTGCACTGGACAGGGAGCTGGAAAATGTTCCATCACACTCCTGACTTGTGCCTTATAGATTGTAGACATGCTTTGGAAAGTCAGGAGGTGAGGTGAGTTACTTGCTACAAGATTTCTAGAACAAAAACAAAGTTGCTGGAAAAGCTCATCAGGTCTGGCAACATCTGTGAAGGAGAGAACAGAGTTAACGTTTCGGGTCCGGTGACTCGTCCTCAGAATAATTCTCCTTCACCTTCTCCTTGTTCTCTCCTTCACAGATGCTGCCAGATCTGCTGAGCTTTTCCAGCAACTTTGTTTTTGTTCCTGATTTACAGCATCCGCAGTTCTTTCGGTTTTTATTTACAAGATTTCTAGACTTTGGCCAGCTCTTACAGCCGCAGTACTTATACAGCTAGTCCAGTTCATTTTCTGGGAAATGCTAAGACCAGGAGGTTGATCTTGGGGATTCAGTGATGGCAATACCAGTGACTATCAAGGTGTGATGGTTAGATTCTTGCCTGGCACTTCTGTGGCATGAGTGTTACTTGCTATTTGTCATCCAAAGCCTGGATATTGTTCGGATCTCAATGCATTTGGACATGGATTGCTTCAGTATCAGTCGTCAGCAAACATCCCCATTTCTGACCTTCGGATGGGTTATTGATGAAGCAACTAAAGATCGCTAATCTAGAACACTGGCCTGAGGAACCCCTGCAGAGATTTCCTGGGTCTTGAGATGTCTGACCTCCAACAACCACAACCATCTTTCTTTGAGCTAGGCATGATTCCAACTTGAGGAACTTTCCAACTTTCCATTCCCAACTCTTTGCCATTTGACCCTCCATTTACTACAGTGCTTCTATAACTGTTAGTCTGGTTTAATCACTCTCGCATATCCATTTACAAACCTGTTCACAAAATCACCTTTACTCTCTCATTGGTTAGTCTCCAATCTCGTGTTCAAGGAGTGAATATTTCAGCTGGATTTGCCTTCCATCACTACATTTAATTGAACCACATCAAACACTAGTGGTCCTGCTTTCCTCTACCAAGACAGCTTATTTCTCCAAGACCACCCTGAAGAGAAAAGATAATCCACAACCTCTCTTTCTCAAAACCAACTGTGTCCTTGTCGAAGTTATGTTCCTGCTATACGAGCTCTGTTTATATCCCAAACTAACAGATTTAAAAGATGATTATGCTTCAAAATCTCCCCTCCCCCTACCGCATCCCAAAACCAGCCCAGCTCATCCCTGCCTCCCTAACCTGTTCTTCCTCCCACCTATCCCCTCCTCTCACCTCAAGCCGCACCCCCATCTCCTACCTACTAACCTCATCCCGCCTTCTTGATCTGTCCGTCCTCCCTGGACTGACCTATCCTCTCCCTAACTCCCCACCTACACTCACCTTTACTGGCTCCATCCCCGCCTATTCGACCTGTCTGTTTCCTCTCCACCTATCTTCTCCTCTATCCATCTTCTATCCGCCTCCCCCTCTCTCCCTATTTATTTCAGAACCCCCTTCCCCTCCCCCATTTCTGATGAAGGGTCTAGGCCCGAAACGTCAGCCTTTTTGCTCCTATGATGCTGCTTGGCCTGCTGTGTTCATCCAACTCTGCACCTTGTTGTCTCAGATTCTCCAGCATCTGCAGTTCCTACTATCTCTCATTCAATTTAAAAGATGATTCTTGGGTTGATTGAGTAGTTGGAGAGAAACAATTCCTCGCACAGGAGACTCCAGAACAAGAGGCACAGCATTAAAATTAGAGCGAGGCTGTTCAGGGTTGATATCAGCAAACATTTCTTCGTAATAAATGGGAACAGAAATCTCTCCCCATAAAAATCTGGTGAAGCTGGGGATCAATTGAACATTTCAAAACTGAGATTTATAAATTAGAGTCATAGAGATGTACAGCACAGAAATGGACCCTTTGGTCCAACTTGTCCATGCTGACCAAATATCCTAAAAAAATGTTCCATTTGCCAGCATTTGGCCCATATCCGTCTAAGCCCTTGTAGTTCAGATGGCTTTTGAATGTTGTAATTGAACCAGCTTCCACCATTTTCTCTGGCAGCTCATTCCATTCACACTCCATGCTCTTTGTGAAAAAGTTGCCCCTCAGGTCCCTTTTAAATCTTTTCCCTCTCACCTTAAACCTATGCTGTCTAGTTTTGGATTCCCCTACCTTGGGGAAAAGTCCTTGGCTATTCATCTATCCATGCCCTTCATGATTTTATAAACTTCTATAAGGTCACTCCTCAGCCTCCAGTAGTCCAGGGAAAATAGCCCCAGCCTATTCAGCCTCTCCCTATAGCTCAAACTCTCCAACCCTTGCAACATCCTTGTAAATCTTTTCTGAACCCTTTCAAGTTTCACAACATGTTTCCTATAGTAGAATTGAACACAGTATTCCTAAAGTGGCCTAACCAATGTCCTGTACAGCTGCAACATTCCCGCCCACCCGCCAACTCCTAACTCAATGCACTGACCAATAAAGGCAAGCGTACCAAATGCCTTCTTCTCTATCCTGTCCACCTGCGACTCTGTTTTCATGGAATTATGAACCTGCACCCTAAGGTCTATTTTTGTTAGGAAAAGGTTTATGGATTACTCTCTCTCCTTTATGGTCCTTCTGAAATCCCACCACTTCAACCATATTTTTGTTTAACTCCTCCTAATGTCTTCTTCTCTATGTTAATTTTTCTCTGTTTGTGTCTTTATGAACCCAGTACAGTCAATCGCGAGGTTACAAATGAGTTCAGTTCCTGACTATGTTTGTCAGTTGATTTGTATGCAAGTTGGAACACAATATGGTACAATACAAAACACTTGTTCATAAGTACGAGTGAATGTTCGATGCTGCATTTTAATTAATGGCACCACGGGATCTTGTTCATAAGTACAAGTGAATGTTCAATGCTGCATTTTAACTAATGGACCATGGGATCTTGTTCATAAGTACGAGTGAATGTTCGATGTTGCATTTTAACTAATGGCACAACGGGATCTTTTTCATTAGTATGAGTAATAGGAAGTCAGGGACCCACAGTACAGGTACGAGCATTTGAATCCACTATAAGGCTAACAGTATTCACCTTATGATAGTGCGAATAGTCTCTGTCAGGGACAGGAGAGGGAGAGAGGGGAGAAGAGAGAGATTCAGAAATTAAGGTTGACTTTTGCAATTAAAATAGACTGTGACATTAAAGTTGAAGTCCTAAAGCTGCCAGTGTTTTATATGCAGACGTTCAAATTGTGTTGACTAAGCTAAAATGTCAAAGAATGTTGAGAATCAAGAGAGCAGGATCAAACAACGAGAAGTCCCCAAAAGTTCCCGGATATACAGGAAAGACAGACCTATTGGCATTGGACTTGTGTAACATGCCACATGCTGACAAATGAAGTCTAAGTGTTAATTGATGCTGTCTAATAAGCCTTGTTAGTTTTTTTTTATTCATGTGGATGTCACTGGCTGGACCAGCGCTTATTATCGTCCATACCTAATTGCACTTCAGAAAATGGTGATGAACTGCTTCTTGAACAGCCGAAATCTATGTATCATAGGTAGACTCTCAATGTTGTTGGAGAGGGTGTTCAGAATTTTGATGTAATGACAGTGAAGGAACAGTAATATATATCTAAGTCAGGATGATGTTTGTCTTGGAAGGAAATTTGCAGGTAGCAGTATTCCCATTCATCTGCTGCCCTTGACCTTCTAGAAGGTAGTGAATGAGGGTTTGGAAAGTGCTATTTAAAGAACCTTGAATTTGCATTTTATACCATAAGGCACAGGAGCAAAAGTAAGCCCGTTGAGCCCGCACCACTATTCAGTGAGATCATGGCTGATCTGATAATCTCAATTCCACTTTCCTGCCTTTTCCCTATAACCCTTGATTCCGTTATGCTAAATCAGTAATTGTTCTTTCTTGCCAATAAGGTTATCCCTTGATGATAATATCCTTACTCTGTACAGAGTCCAAATCTTGCCTTTTTAGCAATTGATGAATCTGTAGTTCTGCTCTTGCATAACTCGTAAGCTCAATATTTGGTCCTCCCAAACCTGTCCAATGAAATAATTTGTCCACATAAACACAAATTATCGTTGTTTTGAAATCTCCATCAAATCAAGGTCTATATGCACACTAAAGTGCACACATTCGGTTCTTCTAACACAACAGCAAAATACTGACAATGCTGGAACTTGGTATTTATCACAGGATATCAACATCAGTGGATTCATTTCTGTGCAACACCTGCATGAGGAGTTATACTGTCATTGAATGCAGTTCCTGAAACATTACGAACAACAGAAATTCCTGCCAGATTTTGTATTTCTGTACCCAACTCCCACAGAGCATCCATTAAGTGGGAGCGAAACATATTCCTCACATATTCAACTGTGGAATTATGTGATGCATACAGAATAAAGTAACTGGAATTGGGACCATTTTATTAACAGCCATGTAACATATCCAATTAGGATGGCAGTGATGGTTTTAAAGCCCACGTATTATTACTGCCAAAACAGCGTGAGAGATGCCTGATTTAGTGAATCCATAAAATGTCCTAAATGCAACAAGTTCTGACAAGACAACATTTGTGATTTGAACTACTATTGCTTTGTTCAAGCAAAGACAGTGGAATTTGCATTTGAGGTAGACTTGGGAATGTGTGTAACAGATCTGAACTGATTAAACACCAAATGCAGAGACATTGTTTGATGAAATTACATTGAAAAAAGAATTAATTCACAAACAGATTTCTAGTTTGAAAGGCTCTTATGCACCAAGATACAGATGTAGAAAACTTTTTAAACACACGTGCATGATTTCATAATGTCTTGTGAGGATATTGTACTGAATTCTCAGGATTGTGGAAAACGTATTGCTCCCTAAAAAATAAATGACTTTTTTACTATCTGTATAATTTACTGGTTTGGAAATATAACTCAAGTCTGGCTGAAATCAGAAAAAATCAGCTACAGATGGAAATCGTTCTACTTCTTGTGTTCATCCTCGAAGGAGGGTCCAATCCAGAGGTGCATGATCTTCATATGGGTAGGTGAACAAGGCAGGTCCAAAATCTACCAGCCAGAGCACTGATTGAAGCCCATGCCACCAATGTGATTCACAACAGCCATCCAGTCGTGAGAGAATCAGTCAGATGGAGTTAGAATTTCTATAACTTTGTATCACTTAGCAGACCATGAGTCTCTCCTGCTATTACCACCTGCCATTGTAATGTATGTTGGAAGGATTTACAAGTTGATACTTACACTATTCAGCTGCATTATGAACACATTTTCTGTGGCTATCGAGTGTGACCAGAATCTTCTGGCTCAGAGGCAGGGACACTACCCACTGTACCACTAATCTCTGGATAGAAATCAGAAATAAATAGAAATCAAAATGTATACTTTGCAGAATATGAATATACTACTGTAAATTATAAAACCTTGTGAGGTAAGTAACACTAGCTGACCTTTCAGATCTGGAAACTGGATAGAATCAACGGAGTTAAAAGGAGACTGGTCTACCTAATTTCATATCGTTATGTTCCACAAAATGAAATAGTTCTCAATGTTACAGGAAATTACACTGCCACACTGAAGCCGTGATATGTTGGGATATGGTGAAAACATGTTTTGGAATGCAGAAACCAGAGCTTGCAGAGTCGTAGAATTAAAATGTCAAATGGTTCTGCATTGTGGAACTGATCGAACTAGGTCAAAGTGAAGCTTCTTTCTCACGGATACAGGCAATTTGGCAGTGTTTCATTTCCTATTACTGAGACCTTCAACTGACACCATCAAAATACAAAAAGAAGCAAATCCTGGAACACGGCAACAACGAAATCAAAGTACTCGATCACTGCAGCTGAGATCAGCAAATTCGAGAAAGCAATGTGAAATGTCAATAATTTCACTTGAAACACAAATGATCTGTACCTGAATGAGATAGTCGGAACTGCCAATGCTGGAGTCTGAGATAACAAGGTGTAGAGCTGGATGAACACAGCAGGCCAGGCAGCATCAGAGGGGCAGGAAAGCTAACGTTTCGGGTCTGGCCTCTTCTTCAGCAATGAGCCTGGGTTCAAGTCCTACCAGATCAAGATCACGTTGTCTAAAACTAATCTACAGACGACATAAGCGCTCGGCCTTCTGCAAATCGTTATTGGACAAGTACTATGTGAGATTCGAGGGAAATTCAACTTTCATTCAGAGCTGCAGCAAGTTCAACTGCTTCAGAAGATGGGGGCGAGGGAAAAGAAAGAGGGTGAAGTTGTCGCTGGACTCTTGGAGGGGAAGGAAGTAGGGAATGAGATGAAGCGGCTGCGGTCCCAATCACCCGCTGGCCGCCCTGGCTGCCATTTACAGGTACGCACCTCCAATTCAGGCACCGGCCGTTGTTTGAGGAGACTACAACGGTTCCTGCTTCTGAATGGATTTGGAAGATGTCAATCTATAAGTAAACCCACCCACCCACTTCTCTTTCTCTTCCAGAGCTGGTTCACTTCCTATTGGGACTGAAAACCAAGTGAGGAGATGGTGAGTGAAGGAGCAGCTTTTATACAAATTGTATCCCATAATATCCACATCAATCTTCAGGCAGTCTGACTATCCTGTGGGCAATCAGGGGTGGAAATGTCCCTTATGCTTTGTGAGAAGATCCAGCTGAGAGAGCTGTTTACTGGGTGCTTTGTGCTGAACTGTTTGACTGGAGCTGTGTGTTGGACGTTGAGTGTGTTTATTGGAAGCACTTCCCTTCTGATTTCCAGGCTGTGTTATGTTGACGGCTCATTCCTGAACATGAGAAGGTGAGGTGTCATTGTCTAGGAATTTGAGGGAGGTGGCGGCATTGTGGTAATGCCTCAGATATGAGTTTAAATTCCATCGGTTAGATGTGAATTAAGTTTTTAAACATTCCTTTAAGGAAGGAGATTTGCTATACTTATCTGGTCTGATCACATAACCTCAGGCTCACAACAATGTAGATGTCTCTTAACTATGCCCAGAAATAGTCGAGTAAGACTTCAAGATAACAAGGTGTAGAGCTGGATGAACACAGCAGGCCAAGCAGCATCAGAGGAGCAGGACGGCTGACGTTTCGGGCCTAGACCCTTAAGACTTCAGTTGTTTCAACAGTCTACAGAAGGAGTTAAAATCATACACACCACCTGTCATTGACTGAGGCATCAGAAATAACAATGGCACATTCAACCCAGTTAACCATGCAAAAATCCTGCTTACAAACATCCGAGGCATTGTGCCAAAATTAGGAGAGCTGTCTCACAAAATAGATGTCTTACATCCTTTGATTTCTTGACAAGACTTAAGTTCCAACACATCAAAGCTGGTATCTGGTCTGGTTTTTCTGCCTTACCATATGAGCTGGATGCTGAGATTCCTCAGCTGTTCCATTTCATTTTTGGTAACAGCCACTTTTCTGTCCAGATCTGGTCTGATCAATTGCAATAGGATTAACTTTTTCCAAGTAAGACTCATTTGGAATACCTTATAAAATACCTTTGTAAATACTTTTCCGTTATAGGAGAGCCTCTATTTCCTAATTTTCTTTTCCCACAAGCATTTCTCAAGACCTCTAGATATGAACCTAGCTTTGGCCTTATAAATCCCATCCAGTAAGACCTTTTCCCTACAGCTCCATCTGTGTTACAATGCCGGTTGACCTCAAACATCTATTTTTTAAATTCATTTGTGGGATGCGGGCGTCACTGGGTGGCCAGCATTTATTACCTGTCCCTAGTTGCCCGTGAGAAGGTGGTGGTGAGCTGCCTTTTGAACCGCTGCAGTCCACCTGCTGAGGATTGACCCACAATGCCATCAGGGAGAGAATTCTAGGATTTCGACCCAGCAATGTTGAAGGAACGGTGCTATATTTCCAAGTCAGGTTGGTGAGTGGCTTGGAAGGGAACTTGAAGGTGGTGGTGTTCCCGTATGTCTGCTGCCCTTGTCCTTCTAGATGGAAGTGGTTATGGGCTTGGAAGCTGCTGCCTGAGGATCTTTGGTGAATTTCTGCAGTGTATCTTGTAGATAGTAGATAGTAGATAGATTGAGTGTCAGTGGTGGAGGGCGTGGACGCTTGTGGATGTAATCCCAATCAAGACGGCTGCTTTGTCCTGGATGGGGTCAGGCTTTTTGAATGTTTTTGGATCTGCACTCATCCAGGCAAGTGGGGAGTATCCCATTCACACTCCTGACTTGTGCCTTTTAGATGGGGGATTCAGGAGGTGAGTTACTCGCTGCAGTATTCCTAGTTTCTGACCTGCTCTTGTAGCCAGAGATAACAAGGTGTAGAGCTGGATGAACACAGCAGGCCAAGCAGCATCAGAGGAGCAGGAAAGCTGACGTTTCGGGTCGAGACCCTTCTTCAGAAAACCTGCTCTTATAGCCACTTGTGTTAATGTGGTGAATCCAGTTGAGTTTCTGGTCAATGATAACCCCCAGGATGTTGATAGTGAGGGATTCAGTCATGGTAACACCACTGAATGTCTCTTATTGGAGATGATCATAGCCTGGCATTTGTGTGATGTGAATATTACTTGCCACTTGTCAGCCCAAGCCTGGATATTGTCCAGATCTTGTTGCATTTGAACATGGACTGCTTCACTATCTGAGGAGTTGTGAATGATCATTGGCGAACATCCCCACTTCTGACCTTAGGAAAGGTCATTGATGAAGCAGCTGAAGACAGTTGGGCTGAGAAACTCCGGCAGAGATATACTGGAGATGAGATGACTGACGTCTAACAACCACAACCATCTTGCTATGTGCCAGGTATGACTCCGAACAGCAGACAGTTTGCCCTCTGATACCCATTGACTCCAGTTTTGCTCAGTCGAATGCAGCCTTGATGTCAAGGGCTGTTACTTTCACCTCACCTCTGGAATTCAGCTCTTTTGTCCATGTTAGAACCATGGCTGTAATGAGGTCAGCAGTTGAGTGGCTCTGGCCGAACACAAACTGGGCATCACTGAGCAGGTTATTGCTGAGCAGATCCTGCTTGACAGCACTATTGATGACACCTTCCATCACTTTGCTGATGATTGAGAGTACAATGATGGGGCAGTAATTGGCCAGGTTGGAATTGTCCTGCTTTTAATGTACAGGATGTACGTTAAATGTACAGCGTTTAACTGTACTGGAACAGCTTGGCTAGAGGAGCGGCAAGTTCATCAGTACTATTGTCAGAATGTTGTCAGGGCCTGTAGTCTTTGCAGTGTCCAGTGCCTCCAACTATTTCTTGGTATCACGCGAAGTGAATTGAATTGACTGAAGACTGGTATCTGTAATGCTGGGGCCCACTGCATTATCCTGCCAGTGTCATTTGCAACTTACAATTCAGCTCATCTGCCAGTATTTAGTGTGATATCTTATCAATTATTACATGCACTTTCTGCAGCAGTGTGCATTACTTATATTTTATGTGACCCAAGGCCTGTGATGACCCACTTTTCCACGATTTTATCTGCTTATAGTTTGTCTGTCCTTGTTGTTTATCACCATGGAAACACTGGAGCTAGTCACCATAACTATTGCTCATAATGTAATCAATAAATATTCCTATCCTTGCCCCAAATCTTCAGATCTATGGCTACTAAATCCCCAAGCTAAGGGAACAATTATATCTGGGTGTGTTAGTGTCTTTCGATTATTTAATACATATAACACATTGCAATATGATTAGTTCTGCAAAGTACTTATATCCTTTGTCCATAACTCCAGTACCCTTTAATGGTAGCTTTAGTTTCTGGAGGGATGAGTTAATTGGTTATGCAATTTCCACTTACAGTGATCTTCTTATTGGTCTGATTGCTTTCTGCGAAGGTCAGTAGGACTTGATCTTCTTGATGGGAAACTCCCAGTTTCCTCAAGGGAATGCAATAATGTCTGGATCTCATGAATTGCATTACCAAACACAAATGCTTTATCATTGTCCATGCCTAAATACATTTTAACTTTCTTCAGTTGAATACTTACTCAGGAACAATGGTAGTGCACACTGGATGACGTTGATGTTTATGAAGTGAAGCAGTCCTGCTATTTCAAATGCGAGGATCACTCTCTTTTAAAGGTTATAATGTTTACCATCTGTTTTGTCTGCTTTATCCAATGTTTGCAAATAAACCAATTGATTCCGTACACTAATATTAAACAAAGAACTGTGGATGCTGGAGATCTGAAACAAACTCAGAAATTGCTGGAGAAACTCGGCTGGTCTGAACTGCACACATTGTTGAGGTACAGCCACTATCTAGTGCAAAACAATTGATTAAATCAGTTACAAAGGTACCGATATTTTTTTACTTTTCATCCTGATCATATTCACTCTTAGAACCACCTGTCTCATGAGTTGTCTCCAAGATTTGACTTCTGATTCTCAGACAATTCCTGAATTGGTGATATTTAGAGTCACACTGGAAACACCTATTAATTGTTTTCTGTGGATTTCTGAGATTCATTTGTTGTGGGCAGTCTTTTCAATGTTGTGTTTTTCCATGTTTCTGAAATCTGATTCACCTCAAAACATCTTTCAGAAATTACTTCCTCACACACAGTATTCCTGATTTCTTTCTCGGTGTGTAGACATCTGAGGATCATTTGTAGCAGTGACTTCCAAAACTGGAAGTTAGTGTGCTGGCATGCCAATTGGCATGTACGGAACCTCAGAGCAGCTGTGTGACCTATTAACTGAACTAAAAGTTACAGCCACACAACTTAAAAGGGAACAGTGCTTATATAAGCATCTGCACCTAGGCCCCCTTCAACATTGAGAATCGGTAATCATAGAGCCTTCCACCCCTCTTTCAATACAGAATACCCAACATGTTCTGTGAGAGTAGCTGGGAATTATTGTCTCCATGAAAGGTTTTAGAACAGCGGACACTTGTTCAAATAGAGGTTCATTACAACAAAATTAGAACACCTCTCAAAGTACAAGGTTTGTGCATAGGTTATTTAAAAGAACAAAAAAAACTCAATCTACAAATTCTGGAACAAAAACAGAAAATCCTGGAGAAACTCAGCAGGTCTGGCAGTATGAGTGGAGAAAAAGCAGAGTTAACATTTTGAGTCCAGTGACCCTCTTTCAGAACTGATAATAGCTGGGAAAAGGTAGTATTTATGCTGATTACAGGGGATGGGGGGAAGGCATGCATGCATAGGTGGAGATGGAGCCCAGACAGTCAGAAAGACAGGTAGACAAAGGAATGGTTGATAGTAAGCCAGGGAAGAAGAAAAGCTGATAATGAGGATGATGCACAGATGAAAATGGGTTGGCATTTCTGCCACCTCCAACCAATGCCACCATCAGACACAAATTCCCCTCCCCTCCCTGATCAGCATTCCCTCCAGGACAGCATGGTCAACTCCTCCTCTATTCCCTGCAGCTTCCCACATCCCCAAGGCTCCTTCCTATGCAATTGCAGAAGGTGCAACACTTGCCCATTTACCTCTTCCCTCCTCACAAACCAAGGTTTCAGACACACCTTCCAGGCAATTTACCTGCAGTTCACGCAATCTAATTTACTGTATTTTCTGCTCACAATATGGTCTCCTGTACATCAGCTAGACAAAATACGGACTGAGTGACCACTTTGCAGAACACCCTAATTTCTGAATAATGGCCCCAAGCTTCCAACTGCCTGCCACTTTAACACATCATGTTCCCTGGCCAACATCTCTGTCTCAGGCCTGTTGCAAATCTGTTGCTGGAAGAACAGCATCTCATCTTCCATGACCTTTACTCATTCCACATGCCGTGTCATCATATGGGCTACTTTCAGCACAGCCAACCCATTTTCACCTATTCATTGTCTCCGTTATCAGTTTTTATTCCTCCCTGGCTTACTATCAATTATCGCTTTCTCTGCCTGACTTTCTTTCTGTCTGTCTGGGTTTTATGTCCACCTTTTGTTGCACGCCTTCTCTCAAAAGACTGAGGTTAATCCAATGCTACCATGTTTGTTTGATAGATATTCAAATATTAATCAGGTAGTAGAAGACTATCAGAGATTTAAAACCGTTTTATTGTTAAACTATAAGTCCAATTAAGTATAAGTACCTCTATGTCCTATCCTATGTTCTGAGGAAGGGTCACTGGACCCAAAGTGTTAGCTCTGTTTTTCCTTCACAGATGCTGCCGGACCTGCTGAGTTTTGCCAGCAACTTTGGTTTTTATTCCTGATTTACAGCATCCGCAGTTCTTTTGGTTTCCATGTCCTATCCACCTCACTCTCCCTCTCTTGAAGCTAACGCCCAAACTGGGGAAATCCCTAGTCTCAATTAACTCCATACATGTTCTGGTTTCCCCTTAAAAGGACTTGCATTTCAAACATTGTCTTATTGTATATATGCTCCAAGGACTACAGTGGTTCAAGAAGGTACCACTTTGTCTGGTGCAATGAAGGATAGGAAATAAAATCTGGCCCAGCCAACAGTACCTACATCCCATGAATATAGAAGGGAAAAAAGGTGTAACTGAAGGTGCAGAGTATCAGGATTCTAACTACTTTCTGATTATTGATTATTTTGTGTCTATTGAGACCTAGTTATTATCAAGTGAAATGTAATGTATTGGGTTTCCCTGAGTGAAAGTTCCCTGTCACAGCAGCAGTACTGAAGGAGAGCTATTTCCTTGGAGGGACAGTACCAAGGCAGTTTTGCCTGATAAGGCAAATATGAATTGGAATCAGGTATTTGGTATCTCCAGCATATTCCACCATCCAGTGAGATCATGGTGCGTCTGTGATTGAGCTTTATGTTCCTGCCTTTTCCAATATACCTTCAAACATTTGATAGATTTTTGTTCATTCTCCAACTTAATATTAACAACTAATTTAGCATTGAGTGTAGTTTGCAGAAGCATGTGCTAATTTTCTTTCAACCTTTGTGTGTCAAAGTATTTCCTTATTTCACTCCTGAGAGGTTTGGTTCTAATTTGTAGACAGCGTCCTTGTCCTAGACTCCCCAACCAGTGAATCTACACTATACTCACTCCAAAGCCAATATGTCCTTCCTATGGTGAGGTTCCCTGAACTGCACCCAGTATTCCAAACCAGGGCTTTGTCTCACTGAAACATGACTTCGACCCCCTTGTAATCTTTTCCTCAAAATATAAAGGTCTGTATTCCGTAAGCTTCTTTGATTATTTTATGTCTGTCTGTGACATTTTAATTATCTCTGTACCTGGTCCCCAGGTCTTTTTGAACCTCCAATGGTTCTAGCTTTATTCCAACATTTTAAAAATCCCCTGCTCTTTCCTTTGTGAGTCAAAAGTTCTATACATTATCACCTAACTCCTTGATCCATCGGTATCTCTTTGTAATTTGTTTCTTCACTTCCTCATGGCCTCTCCACCAGTTTTTCTTCCAGTCCTACCCTGATCCTTTTCTATCCTCTAGTCCTGCTTTTCCAGCCTAGGCACCATTTGCTGTCACCGTCCTTCCTATCACCTTAATTTGTCTGGCCTCTGCAGCCTTGCTCACAGCTACCAGTTACCTGTTCACTGCTTGTCCAATCACAGGCTGCTTCTTTCCCACCTTTCCTGTTCATAGGTTCATAACAAATCTCTCAGCAGCAAATATGAAAAACAACCTGCCTGTGATTGGAAGAGTAGCCCCTCACAGGCTCTGTCCATTCGATTTACTGGCATGACTTTTTCCAGATTGGCTGTCCATGTGATTGATTTTTCCAGAGCATATTGCAGACTTTTGGAGCAAATTCACCCCTCTGCCTTTGTATTTTGAGCATGATTTTGGAGTTAGCATTGACCAAAATCACAGCTTCACCAGCTATATAAATACTGTGGCTAAAAATATCAAGTCAGAGGCTGAGCGTTCTGAGGCTAGTAATTCGCCTGCTGTCTCTCCAAAGTTTTTAAACCAAGGTACCAGTTTGGATTGTGATGGTATTCTCCCTACTTGTCTGGATCAATGTAGCTGCAGTAACACATGAGAAGCTCAACACTATCTAGGACAAGTCCGTCTGCTTGACTGGCACCTCATGCACGACTTTCAACATTTAGACCTTTCAGCTGTAACATGCAGTGGCAGTAGCGTGTGCCACCTACAAGATGCACTGCAGTAACTCACCAAGCCACCTATGACAGCATGCTAAAAACCCGTAACCTGCACCATCTAAAAGGAAAAGGACAGCGCATGCATGGGAACACCACCTCCTTCAGGTCCCCATCAAGCAACACAACATCCTGACTTGGAAGTATATCACCATTCCTTTGGTGTTGCTGAGTCAAAATCCTGGACCTCCATCCCAAACAGTATTGTGGGTATCTTTATATCCAAAGTTCTGCAGTGGTTCAAGAAGACAGCCTCACCACCACCAAGAGCAGTTAAGGATGGGCAGCAAATGCTGGTCCAGCCAGTATCATCCACATCTGTGGAAGTATAAAGTATTTTTTTTAAATTGCAAGTTAGCACCTTCACCAAGGCAGGAGGGGGAGTTGGAGAAAATCATGTTTCCTTTTCCTGTTTTACAGAAGGATTTCACCATAATACACAAGACTGGATAGCCACCACAGAGAGATCCTGACCATTGCCCAAGGAACAACTTTGGGAAGTCATCTAGTCCCTTCACAGCATTGCTCAACACAGAATGTTGGGCAGTGAAACCATCATCTGGAAATTGGTTGGGTCAGGGGAACTTTGACATATCACCAGATCTGCAACTGGTCAGTGGTGTGAAGCCTTCCATCAGAACCAATCTTCCTGAAGGTTCAGCTGTACTTGATCGAATAGGGTGAGGCTGAGAAGAAGTGTGAGTGGCTCCAAGTGTGGTGAGAGCCTCAATCATTCATTGAGCCTCATGAACCACTGACTGCTGAAGAACGTGTTGAAATGTGAGGTATTTGAGGAGAGCTCCACAAGGTTGCAACAACATCTAACATACAAGGTATTGTGCAATTGTTAACACGGGCAGCGATATGGAAGGGAAACCATTCAAATGTGAGGTGTGTGACCGAGCTTTTGCACAGATGTCAACACTTGTGAATCACCGACGTATTCATACTGGAGAAAAGCCGTTCAAATGTGAATTATGTAATAGGAGCTTTGCACAGTTATCTGGTTTAGTGAATCATCGCCCTGTTCACACAGGGGAGAAACCATTTGTTTGTGTAGTTTGCAACAAATCGTTTTCTCAATCGTCGACCCTCCTCATGCACCAACGTGTTCACACGGGGGAGAAACCATTCAGGTGTGAAGTGTGTGACAAATCCTTCTCGCAGTTAGGAAATCTCCGCACTCACCAACGCATTCACACAAGAGAGAAACCATTCATGTGTGATGTGTGTATCAAATCATTCTCATATTTGTCAGCACTCCGCAGACACCAACGCATTCACACAGGTTCAAAACTGTTTAAATGTGAGGTGTGTGATAAATCATTCTCAAGGTCCTGGAACCTTCTGCTCCATCAGAAGATCCACACAGGAGAGTAACCCTTGAAGTGAGGTTTGAGATGAACCTTTTATTAGGACCATGTGGGACACCACAGGATTCACATGGGAAGAATGACAGGGCTTTCACACAGTCAAGCTGCCTTCTGGTCCATTATTGTACTCTCAGAGGGGAGAAACCCTGTCAATGTGAGTTCTGAAATAAAGCTTTCACGCAATTGTTTTACCTTCCGACACACCAGTGAACCCACAATGGTACGATCTAGCTAAGTTCTGGCCCAATCTGTTATCCGAGTGTTTACCTGTACACAGTCTCACAGTGCAGGGTGTTCAGTGGGACTGGGACACAGAACAAGAAGCAGCTTTCACTCCCATCAAACACCTAGTGATGACATCACCAGTGCTGAGGGATTATGATGTCAACAATGGAGCCACCCTGCAGTGTGATGTCAGTGACACAGGACTTGGAGCAACCCCCATGCAGTGAGGGCAATCTGTTGTGTTTGTATCCAAAGTGTTAAGAGCCTGGATATTGTCTTTACTTGTGAACTTTTCAAACAACACCTTTTGAGAGAGAAAATGATGGTGGGGTCTGACCACAAGCCGATTGAAATCATCCTTCTCAAACCACTTCCACCTGTTCAAAACATTTATACCCTATGTTACTTCATTTTTAGAGGTATCACTGGGAGGTGAAGTGCAAACAAATGAAGCAGATGTACATCTCTGACATGTCTTTGAGAGGTACACACTCTGAAGGAAGGTGATGCTAATACACACTGAAATATTTCAGATTCAACAAGAAACAGCAGCTCAAAATGCTCTGGAAGTCACTAACCAGCAGAGACAAGGCAAGAACTCCCAATGTGTTCAATCACCGGAAACTGGATGTACAACACAGGATATGCACTGGTATCTTTCACAAGAGCTGACATACTCAACTCTGGAAATTTTTCAGGGAATTTGAACTTCTGACAGACAATTCTCTTGTATTTCTGGGACCTCTGAAAATGTTTCCAACTTATTTAGTTTGAATCTCCAGACAGTTGCGACATGCTTATCTGAGTACTGTTAAACAGGGACAGTTTAACTCGAATAAGTAAATAATTAACCCTTCAAAACTCTCCATGACTAGTTCCCTCACCCAGTATCACCAAACTGACCTTCCCTGACCTGGCAACACTCTTGACCCAATTACCCCCACCAATTCATCTATCCATTCACCTATCTCACCTAGCTGCCAGCTTATCTTCTTATTTCACCAGTCTTGCCATCCTACCCACTTACTTCATCCATCTGCATACCATATCACCCGACCCCTTCACTCAGTCACCCACTCACTAACATTTGCATTGGCCATTTACCTATGACAGCTTGTGTTGTAAAAAGGGGCAACTGATTATTTTGCTGCTGTCTGTGTGGATCTTGTGCTGAAGGAATGGCCAGAAAAATGGCATTTGGATAAGTGATTCGTTTTCTGTCTAGTTAGTATTGAGCATGGGTGTTCCAACCCAGAACAGAAGATCTGGGCTATATCTAGCAGAAGAATGTATTACTGACAAATCAGGCAAATTACACAATGAGATACTACAGGAAGCTGTGGTGAAAGGAAGGCCTGAAACCGTCGAGGATGCTTCTTTCATCTTCTCATCAGAATTGTTTGTTCCCTCCAAGGAATACTTCACTGGTGATTATTGACCAAGTCTGCCTGCATTCTTGGCAGCATTCTAGGCATTGAATCACACCAAATCTGTTGGATGGTCAGCAAGGCTCTTTTATTTCCTGTGGTATTGTTGCATCGAGAAAAGTGGGATGGTCAGCCGACACTCAGCTGTTGCAGTAAGAGACTACTGGACAATGAGAATCATAGTATAGAAGAGGCCCTTTGGTCCATCAAATCTGCACCAACAAAAAAACTGCTCTAACCCTAAATCTACACTAATCCCACTTTCCAACATTTGGTCTATAGCCTTGAAAGTTATGACATGTCAAATGCTCATCCAGGTACTTTCAATATGTGAAATTTCCTGCCCCAACTACCCTCCCAGGTAGTGCATTCCATTCTCTGTGAAAAATGTTTTCTTTAAATGCTCTCAAAACGTCCTTTCAGCTTAAAGTTATACTCCTTTGTTATTGGCACTTCAACTAAGTGATTGCCCAAAATTACCAAAGATATAAAAAAGGCAGGAGGATCATTATCCCTAAAGAGATGAGAAAAAAGATACTGAATCACATTACACACAGACCTGAAACCATCAAGGGGACACGTGTTGCTGGAAGAGAATATTGGATAAACAGAACTGGAATGATTGCCTAAGATGGCATCTTGTACAAAGGGATCTGGGTCATTGTACCGAAGGAGATGAGAAAAGTGATGCTGAAACACATGTTACACAAACTTTCAAGGAGTCGAGTCTAGTCTGAGGAAGGTAAGAGAAATGTCGTACTGGTCAAACATTAGCAGTGAGATGAAGGATCACATCAGCCAGTGCAGTGCTTAGAATGAACATCACGCTAAACAAGATAACATAACCCATGACATCCCAAGCAGCCCATGGATGAAGCTTGGAGTAGACCTCTTGACTCTCACTGGAAATAATTGTCTTGGCTACTATTTAGATGATGGGGAGTTAAAGCAGCTGACATCAATGAGTTCCAGTGAGATTGTAGAATGTCTGAAAGCACACTTTAGTCATCATGATGTTTCTGATGTTATGATCAGTGACCATAACCCCAATTCACGAGTGAAGAATTCAGACACTTCTCGAATGATTGGGAAATTCAATATCACACATCATCTCCATAATACCTCCAGTCAAATGGAAAGGCATAGATAGGAGTGAAAATTAGCAAATAGATCATTAAAATATTAACTAGATCCAGCAGATACGTGTACCGTTTGATCATAGAATAGAGAAACACATGTACTGAAGGCATGGAAAGTTGTCATACCAGCGATAATGTCATGACACACCAACACTAAATCAACAGTTTATATACTATTCAAGCCAGAAATAGTAATAGCAGTGAGTGAGCAGATCAATGTGAAATGGCAGAAAGCCAAATGCCACTTTAATACATCTTCCAAATTGTTGTCAATGCTGAGAGTTGGAGACCCAGTCAGAGTTCAATATGTCAGAGTCAAATATTCAACATACTTAATAAAAGTTAAGTAACTTGAGACCTATGTAGTAAGATTGTCACCTTCATCATTCATGGTAAAAATGAACAATTTTCACTAACCCAGATCTCTTTTGCAACATTGCAATCTTCAATGCTGAGGGCTGATGAGGCAGATCTGATATCACCAACTGAGCAAGGAACTGAACTCAGTCCCAGAAGTCAACCATTCCCCAAAAAATGCAGCAGGTCAGCAAAAATTACCAGAGCAAAAAACCCTTCCCAGCAGCCTCATAGATGTATGTATGCCCCAATAGACTGCAGTGGTTGAGGAAAGCAACTCACCACCTTTTCCAGGGCAATTAGGGATTCTGCATCAAGTGCTGGCCTAGCCAGGGGCAAAATCATCCTGTGAACTAGTTTAAAACACCACAACAACAGCAGCATTTTGCATCAACAGTCAATGGATGAACAGCCAACCACAACTCACCATTTTATTGTAAGAAGACCTGAATTTCAAAAGATTATACATAGAAAGCTGTGTAATTGTAGAGTCTCTACAGTGTGGAAACAGGCCACTTAGCCTATCAGGTTCACACCAACCCTCTGAAGGGTATCCCACCTAACACACCCCTACCCTATCATTCTGCATTTCTCATAGCCAGTCCACCTAACCTGCAAATCTTTTTTGCATAGTAGGAGGAAAGTGGAGCAAACCCATGCAGACACGGGGAGAATGTGCAAACTCCACACAGACTGTCACCCAAGGGTGGAACTGAACCCAGGTCCCCAGTACTGTGAGGTGACAGTGCTAACCACTGAGCCACCAGGCCACCCTGCATCATGCTGTGTAAGAACAGATGAAATTGGAACAGATTAAAAGGAACAATATTTTTGTTCAGGTGATAATTTTCTTTATGCACTATGTATGTGGAGTGACTTAAGTTAAAGGGCATACTTTTTCTTTCAAAGAGTGATGTTGTACATTGTTGCTTGCCACATCAATATAATGTCTATGCATAGAAATAAAGGTTTGTGGGCAGTAGCCATTTTACACACCACTTGGAACTTTGTTCAAGATTCATATCACTCCACATGTACACAAGAGTTTCCTGAAACTTGGGTAACTGACCAGAGAAACAGAGGCAACAGAGGTTAGAATTTAAACTTGTCATAGTCCATCTGAATAAAATCTCAATTACTTCAGCTGCAATCTCTGTTCCCCGGTAAACGTTTGACAGAGATTCCTCATGTGGGAATAGTATACTTCATCCTTGGAAGCATTCAGACTGACATCATCAGTGTGGAATGTGTAGTCTTTAACAGCAGATCAGAACAGGAAGACCCACAGCAACAAGGCAGTAATGACATGCAGTGATGGGTCAGGACACATACTTGAGAGAGAATCATATTGGGAAACAGAGATATAGAGGGGCTTGAGCCTGCATCAGAGGTTTGTGGGTTCAAGTCCCACTCAGGTCTTGAGCACAAAACCTCCTGGCTGATACTCCAGTGCAATACTGAGAAGTGGAAGAGATCACAAAGGTTGGAAAGGGAATGAAGACATACTCAAAATCCTCATTCAGACTAACAGGGAGCTTTCCTGGGAAAGATGGGTTATTTATCAAATTTTATTTCTGGTAGTGTTCAAACAATATAACTTTCCTGAGTGAATGAAAGCAGAATGGTCCACCAGCAGTATTGATTGGAGACAATCCGTTCAAATGGCCATTCCAGCTGACACCAGGGACTTTACCACCTTTCACAGCTTCAGGAATCCAGACACAAAGGCAACACTGATATCTACAGCTGTAACTAATTACTACTTCAAATCAAGTTTCAGACTGCCTGTTTATGGGAATGGGGAAAGGATTGTGTTTGTACACAGCAGCAGAATTAACCCCTTAGAAACTGAATCTAATATAAAAACGACAGTATAAGATTATCAGTTCACACTCTTATCTCTGAGTCAGAATGTACTAGTTTCAGTTATCACTACAGAGACTAGAGAACTCGAGCTGACACTCCTGTATGACCCTCTAAATATACTTTTCAAATAAACATAAAATAGATTTTAGAGTCATAGAGAGGTACAGCGTGGACGCAGAATCTTTGGTCCAATTAGTCCAAGCCAACCAGATATGCTAAATTAATCCAGTCCAATTTGTCAGCATCTGGTCCATATCCCTCTAAACCTTTCCTATTCATGTATCCATCCAGATGCCTTTTAAATGTACTAATTGTACCAGTCTCCACCACTTCCTCTTGGCAGTTCATTCCATACACGCACCACCCTCTGCATGGAAAAGTTGCTCCTTAGGTCCCTTTTGAATCTTTCCCCTCTCACCTTAAACCTATGCCCTCTAGTTTTGGACTCCCCAACCCTGTTAAAAAGACCTTAGTTAGTCACCCTATCCACGCCCCTCTATAAGGTCACCCCTCAGCCTCTGATGCTCCAGGGAAAATAGCCCCAGCCTATTCAGCCTCTCCCTATAGCTCAAACCCTCTAATCCTGGCAACATCCTTGTAAATCTTTTCTGAACTCTTTCCAGTTTCATAACATTTTTCCTTTGGCAGAGGGACCAGAACTGAACGCAATATTCCAAAATTGGCCTTGTCGATATCCTGTACAGCTGCAAAATGAATTCCAAATTCCTATACTCAGTGTACTGACCAATAAAGTCAAGTGCACCAAATGCCTTCTTCACTAACTTGTCTACCTGCAACTCCACTTTCAAGGAACTGTGCACCTGCACCCCAAGGTCCCTTTGTTCAGCAACGCTCCCTAGGACCTTACCATTAAATGTATAAGTGCTGCCCTGATTTGCCTTTCCAAAATGCAGCACCTCACATTTATCTGAATTAAACTCCATATGCCGTTCCTCAGCCCATTGGTCCATCTGATCAAGGACCGTTGTACTCTGAGATAACCACCTTTGCTGTACACTACACCACCAATTTTGGTGTCAGCTTACTAACCATACCTTTTATATTCACATCTAAATCATTTGCATAAATGACAAATAGCAGTGGATCCAGCACTAATCCTTGCAGCACATTGCTGGTCACACGCCTCCATTCTGAAAAGGAATGCTGCACCACCACTCTCTGTCTTCAAGCTAATTTTGTATCCAACTGGCTAGCTCTCTCTCTCTGTATTCCATCTGATCTAACCTTGCTAACCAGTTTACCATCCGGAACCTTGTTGACCGCCTTACTGAAGTCTATATAGACAACGTAATCTGCTCTGCCTTCATCAATCTTTTTTATCACTTCATCAAAAAACTCAGTCAAGTTAGTGAGACACAAACCCATGTAGACTATCCTTAATCATTCCTTGCCTTTTCAAATATATGCAAACTCTGTCCCTCAGAATCCCCTCCAACAACTTACCCACCACTAATGTTAGGCTTACCGGTCTACGGTTCCTTGGCTTTTCTTTCCCACCTTTCTTAGATAATGGCACATTAACCAACGCCCCCCCAAGTCTTCCAGCACCTCCCGCATGGCTATCGATGATACAAATATCTCAGCAAGGGGCTCAGCAAACACTTCCATAGCTTCCCACAAAGTTCTGGGGTACACTCCATCAGGTCCAAGGGATTTATCCACCTTTATGCATTTTAAGACATCAGCGCCTCCTCCTCTGTAATATGGACACTTTTCAAGATGTCACTATTTATTTCTCCAAGTTCTCTAGCTTCCATATCCTTCTCCACGGTAAAAACAGACCCGAATTGCTCATTTAGTATCTCACCCATCTCCTGCGGTTCCACACATAGGTGGCCTTGTTGATCTTTAAGGGGCCCTATTCCTTCCACAGTTACTCTTGTCATTAAGGTATTCATAGAATCTCTTTGGATTCTCCTTAACCTCATTTGCCAAAGCTATTTCATGTCCCCTTTTTGCCCTCCTGATTTCCCTCTTGAGTATACTTCTGCCCTTATACTCCTCTCAGGATTTACTCAATCCCAGCTGCCTATACTTGACATGCCTCCTTCATTTTCTTAACCAGCGCCTCAATTTCTCCAGTCATCCAGCATTCTCTATACCTACCAGCCTTGCCCTTCACACTAACAGGAACATACTGTCTCTGGATTCTCGTTACCTCATTTTTGAAGGCCTCCCACATTCCAGCCATCCCTTTACTTGAAAAAGTCTCCCCAATTAACTTTTGAATGTTCGTGCCTAATACCATAAAAATTCGCCTTCCTCAAATTTAGAACTTTAATTTTTAGATCAGGTCTATCCCGTAACTATTTTAAAACTAATGGAATTATGATCATCGGCCCCAAAGTGCTCCCCCATTGACACCTCAGTCACTTGCCCTGCCTTATTTCCCAAGAGAAGGTCAAGTTCTGTTCCTTGTCTAGTCAGTACATTCACATACTGAGTAAGAAAAGTTTCTTGTGCACACTTAACAAATTCATCTCCGTCCAAGCCCTTAACACTATGGCAGTCCCAGTCTGTTTTTGGAAAGTTAAAATCCCCTACAATTACAGCCCTATTATTCTTTCAGATAACTGAGATATCCTAACAAATCTCCTTATAATCAATGTAACAGAAAATCTGGTCATTATCACATTTTGTGGCAGATTATGGTGTGCAAATTGACTGCCACATTTTATATATTGAGGCAGTGACTATTCCTCAAAAAGTACATCATTGGCTGCAAAGTGATTTTAGACAGGCAGTTTGTGAAAGTTCATACATAATTGCAAGTTTTTCCCAGGGAAACATTTGCTTCCTATAAATTTAGAATTCTAAACCCATTGATGGAGAAAATATAGCAACCCATAGTGACATTAACAATATTGTGTACAGGACTCTTATGGTAGGATCTTGACTGTTTCAGTCTAGTGTCATAAAAACCCATCACTAATTCCCTGCAGGAAAGGAAATCTGCCCGCCTCACCTGGTGACTCATACTTGCCTGCTGAAGTGGCTGAGCAATCCTCTCAATTAAGAACAATTGGAGATTGGAAACAAGTGCAGGTCTTGCCAGTGACATCCATGTATGAAAGAATAAAGAGGAAAAAAAAATCATGGTCAGAGCCATTTTCACTCATGGGAACTCCTGTATCTTGGCCTCCCATTCCAGCAATGGTGGTGCTGAGATCACAATTCTCTTCCTTTTCTTTCCTATTGAAGTTGAAAGATTATTGTAACTAGGAGGAAGAGTGATGGGAGGGGAGGAGATGTTTTGTGTGAATTTTTTTCAACATGTTTAGCTGTCAGAAAAAGCCCCTTACACCACTCAATTAAAAAAAACACAAACACAAAAAGGATTTCGAAAAACAATGAATTTTTTTTGTGGTATAAATTCTCCAGCCCTTAACCTCTCAGAAATGAATATAACAAAATGGAAATATAATAAGTTATTAGCTGAGGCTTAGTTAATACTGTTGTCTCTGAGTCAGGAGAATGTGGGTTCAAGTCTCACTCCAGAGACTTGAGCCCTGAGACTGACACTTCAGTAAAAATCAAAAGAACTGCGGATGCTGTAAATCAGAAACAAAAACAAAGTTGCTGGAAAAGCTCAGCAGATCTGGCAGCATCTGTGGAGGAGACAACAGAGTTAACGTTTCGGGTCCGGTGACCCTTCCTCAGACACTTCACTGACACTTCCTCAGACACTGACACTTCAGTGTA